TTCAAAACTCTGTTCTTTTAATTTTAAGTCAGGAGTTAGGAGATCAGGGCAGATGCCAGTTCCTCCGGAAGAATTGAGATGCCCTATATCATTGCAGCTTATGTATGATCCTGTCATCATTGCTTCTGGGCAAACATATGAAAGGATCTGCATTGAGAAATGGTTCGGTGATGGGCATAATACCTGCCCTAAGACTCAACAGCAGCTTTCACATCTTTCTTTGACTCCTAATTACTGTGTTAAGGGTCTGGTTGCCAGTTGGTGTGAACAGAATGGGGTTCCTATTCCTGATGGGCCTCCAGATTCTCTTGACCTGAACTATTGGAGGCTTGCTTTGTCTGAATCTGATTCCAGTTTGAGATTGGCAGATAGCGATGGTTCTTGTAAGTTGAAGGGGGTAAAGGTGGTTCCTTTGGAGGAGAATGGTATCGTTGAGGAGGAACAAGGATGTGAACCCGAAGATGGGTCTGCACTAGTGGAAGAGTCTAATGTTGATCTCTTAGAAGTATATCGCGATTTCTTGGCTATCTTGAATGAAGAGGATGACATGAGGAAAAAGTGCAGGGTTGTAGAACGTATTAGACTCTTGCTGAAGGATGACGAAGAGGCCAGAATTTTTATGGGGGCTAATGGGTTTGTAGAAGCATTATTGCAATTTCTGGAGTCAGCCATGCGCGAAAGTAACACTATGGCTCAGGAAATTGGAGCTATGGCTCTGTTTAACTTGGCCGTAAACAATAACAGGTTCGTATTTTTGTTTAATGCTTTCTGAGCTAGAGAAGGTGGATATTGTTTCCCATCATAATAATTGTTTTATTTTATAGTATGTGTTTTCTAATTATGTTGGCTAATATGCAGTCCAATAATTTAACATGTTATCATCTGGCTTCTGGTTCAACTCCTTTTCTTTTCATTATTTGTGGACCATGAGATGACATTTTGTCCTCCTTTTATATTCATTTAGAAACAAGATGTTGATGCTAACATCAGGAGTAATTCGGGTGCTGGAGGAAATGATCTCCAATTCTCATTCTCAAAGTTCGGCAACAGCCCTGTATTTAAATCTATCCTGCCTTGGAGAAGCAAAATCCATTATAGGCTCGAGCCAAGCTGTCCCTTTCTTGATCCAGGTTCTTCAAGGGGAAACTGAAGCCCAGTGCAAGCTTGATGCCCTCCATGCTCTTTATAATCTCTCCACCCTTCCTTCCAATATTCCAAGTCTACTTTCAGCTGGCATCATCAGCAGCCTTCAATCCCTTGCTGTCCCTGATGACCACCTGTGGACAGAAAAATCCTTAGCTGTATTGCTAAATTTAGCTTCAACACAGGCAGGAAAAGATAAGATGGTATCAGCACCAGGCCTTATTGGCGGTCTGGCAACAGTTTTGGACACCGGTGAGCCTGTTGAGCAGGAGCAAGCTGTGTCATGCCTTGTTATTTTGTGTAGCAGTAGTGAAAAATGCAGTCAGATGGTCCTACAAGAAGGGGTAATACCTTCATTGGTGTCAATGTCAGTGAATGGGACACCAAGAGGGAAAGAGAAAGCACAGAAGCTTCTGATGTTGTTCCGCGAGCAGCGGCAACGTGATCAACCGCATTCAGAGTTGCATTCACAGGTCGAAAGTAGTGAAAAGGCCTTTTCTGCTCCTGTTCCAGCTCATACTATCAATGCTGCTGCATCTTCAGAATCAAAACCATTGTGTAAATCCATCTCAAGAAGAAAGATGGGAAGAGTTTTAAGCTATTTGTGGAAGAGCAAGAGCTACTCAGTTTATCAATGTTGATTTTGTTGCACTGCTCATGCTCATGTATATTCCGTTATATGCTCTTTTTGGTTTTTTTGGTCCGACTTCGTTTCTCGGCCACATATTTTCTTACTGTTTCTATAGAGAAAAGGAAAGAGTTGTACAGGCCCTTGTAATCTATGGTTTTTTGTTCTTTTTTCTCCCTTGTTTAGAAATACATGCACCGGGGTGTCATAATTGAAGCCTTAGATGTGACGCAGAAACAACTTTACCTTCTGAATTTCCTTTTCTTCTTCCTGATCCTGTTTTGTCCTCTTCTGACGTCAAAATCGCCCAGATATGTGTGATACGGTGCCTAAATCTTTGCCTAGGGAGTGAGGATTCTTACTTTGTTTTATATTGAGCTCAGTTTTGACGGGACAATTGAGGCTATTAATTGACAGACCCATCTAATCATGTAATAGAACTATACCCCGAAATTTCAAAGTTAAGACTGTAGAAATGTTATGTGTATATCTCCTCATCATTTTACTTGTAAAAGATTTACAAGTAGCAATTGGAGCCACCTCTTTTATTTTTGTGCAACTTATTTCCCACTGGATTTGGAATTCTTCCGACATGCCACCTGTTTTTGTCTCTCCTTCGATTATTGTTAGGTCAGAGCTTTCACTATGTTTGGGACTTTGAAGGGACTAAAGTAGTCCATGTAGAGTAGAATAAACTTAAAGAGTATTTAAAACTAGAATCTTAACATCAGTGTCATGTGGTTCACCAGGAACTACAGTGAAGAGATAGCTGAATAAAAAGCATGAGAAGTTAGGTTGCAAAACCAAGAAAATTTTGAATTTAAGAATTCTTCGATGTAATATATATTATATTATATACTTTCTTTAGAAATAGTAAGGGTACGTCAAAATATTAGTTCTCTAATGTTTTGAAATTTCAAAACTAAAAAAAAAAAAAGGGAGCAAACCCTGGTTCCTATTTTTTTTTTTTTTACAAGAAGATATTATTTTAATAAAATTATAAAAATAGATAGAAAAATATATTATAATTTTATAAAAAATTTATAAAAATTTTAACTTTTAATTCATGCAAAAAAGTCAAAGGTAGATTGTATTCTCTACGATTTAAGAGTAAGATTTATTTCTAAATTTAAAATATATTTTCTACATTAAAATGATAAAACTCTGAATTTCATGTCATCATATCTTTTCATCGTAAATCAGAATACATATCTTAATATTATTCGAAAGCTTATTTAAAACGGTATAAGATCTATCCAATAATCATTCAGAACGGTATTTCTGGCACCATCAAATTGGCTAAAATTCGTATAAAAAATTTGCGACCTGCTGCCTTTAAATTTAATTATCTCACCACGCAACTTAGTTGGTTAAAATTTTGACACGAATAACGAACTCTTGTCGAGAGCTTTTTAATGATATACAATTTTGTTATATAAATTCGTTAAAACAGTAAAATTATTATGAAAAAAACTAAAAAAATTATGTACAAATTATAAAATAAAAGATACCTGATCCTTTCAAATTATCTACCAATACAAGAATTTAGTTAATACCAATCTTGATTTTCAGCTTTTATTATTGAATTGCTTCATCTTTTTTCATGTTCTTCAAGAGTTTGTATAAAAATAAATATAAAATTTATGAGATATTTATAATAGTTTATTATATGGTAGTTTTAGGACAACCTGACACCTTAATTAATTAATTAATTATTTATACATTATAGTTATTTTATTTCCATAATATGTATATGTTCATATATATATATATACACAATATGTCTTTTTGCCGGTTGTTAAAAATACATAACACTTTATTTGAATAGAATATAATGACAAAAATGTGAACAATCACAGAATATTTAGTTTTATTAAATACAGATTATTTTATAATCACTATAACTTTAGGAGACACATTTTATAGTTTTCTTAAAAGATCTGACAACACATCAAAGTTGATATTATTCTTTCAGACTTTCTCAGCATATATATATACACACACACACACACAGGTTTATGTATGTATGTAACGTAAGCTCTTCATTTCAAAGCTAAGCATCACAATACAAGTTTTATACACAATATAAAAAATTGATATATTTCAGTAAAAAATTTAAAACTTAAATTTATCCAAAAAATAGAACTATTATTCAGAAATAGTTGTTATATATATATAAAGAATAAATATCTAAGAAAATAATTAAAAAACTCAAAACATAAATAATTTTGTAGCTTTTATATATAAATAAATAAAATTTTAAAGAATTATGTATTTTTTTTTAAATTTTATTTTCCTATCTATTTTTCTGATAAGACCACTTTATAATCTAATAAGATAAAGAATAAATCTCTCTTATATACAGATAAAATTAATATAGGATACGATAATCCAAACAATATAATAAAAATATCATGATATAATAAATTAATAAACAAACAGAAAAATAAAATGAAAAACATTATAAAATTAAAAATTGTTGTTGATAAATTAAAAGAACAATATGCAAAGGAGGAACGGTAGTTATCTTAATTAATTAAAAGATCATTATAATTAATTAAGATAATTTAACTAATCTCATGATCAATTAATTACAAGAAAAATTTCAACATACTATTTTGGAATTCCAACAAAATGCACGTAACGAAATTGTGCTAAAAAAAACCTAGGCAGAAAACTTAAGCAAAAATTGATTTGAAGATCATTGAAATAATCTGAAAATTTCAGTAGGTGATCATGTATATGAAACAGATCGAGGAAGTACGTCTAAGCTGGATCTTTCTTGCCTTGTTTTGGTTGCTACTTTCATAAGCCATCCGGACTCGAACAATTCCAATATCAAATCATTATTTTGTGATGTATTTTCGTTATTTTTTTTACTTATACTCCTTGGCGCATCACATTGTTTTAATTTTTTATTTACTCCTTTTTTTTTCTTTTGAACATCGTTGTCATTATCATTATCATCTTTGATCATCTGAACTCGTTCTGTGGCTATCAGATCGTCATGATCCTTTTCTCTCGTCGCCTTCACTAATGCTTCCTTATATGTTCCTCTTGTAACATTTATTGTTTGATCACAACGACTTCGTTTTGTTTCTTCATTATTGATGTTACGATCCACGATAAGAGTATTATTGTTGTTATCCATGATAATATCCTTTTCTTTTGTGAACTTACCTCTCCACTCGCTCAACAAACAAATCAAAGACTTGAGCCATGAAATAATAAAAACCAACGCGTAATCCAAAAATGTCCAACCAAATTGTTTCATATCGTTCCCAACGTTGTCAAGTTTATCGGGCAAGACCTCGACTATTTCAATGAGACCATCAATGGCGTTGAAAATTCGATTTGAAGGTGGAAAGACGGTTTCGACTTTGTATTCGAGGGCAAGGATTTGATCATCGATCAAGGACAAGATTGCCAGCAATTGATATTGAATGCTACAAATAATGACAGGACTAATTTTTGTTTTTCTTGTGATTGAACCCACCGGTCCATTCAAATCTTGAGCCTTTTGGTACGCCATGTAACAAATTCTCAACATGGAAACACCAAAGGTGTGCAATGGATGACCTCGATTCTTTCTATTCATGACCGTAGATGATTCCTGACAAATTTCATTACAAGCGAAAACGTTTCAGTATATATTAAAAGTATATGTCGATCATTTTAGTTTTGAAATACAGTTATATATACACACACATGCAAGATCTTTCTCCTTTCTTTCAGAGGCCATGAGGAATGTTTAAGACCCAGTTCATATACGTCTCCTTTCACAAAGCATATACATATATATCTCTATATACAAACTGCGGTTGGGGATATATTATGAAAATAAATCTATACCCATCACAAGAAATACGTCAAAAAGTTAATATATGTATTTATATAGCTGAACAATAAGAATACCATGGACGTGAAAAGTGGAATAGATCCAACTCAAAAGTTCTGGCTCGCCTGGTTAATCTGAATTGATTCCTGAAGAAGGCTTCGAATTACAATACGAAGTTATTAATTTAAAGGAAAGAATTGAGCTGGGGAGAAGAAAATATTAAGAAAGAAAAATGAGATGAATAGATATATATATATATATATATATGTACGAATCGTGGAGCTGTTAAATTTTTACCTCTACGCCAAGGCTGGAGAATGAAAGGTGGTAATAATTTTTTACCGTCCCTTTAACGCTTATAAAACATTTGTAGGTGTAATGTTGGGCTTGAATTCAATGCACGTGGCTTTCCCTATTCCCTCTCAATCAACTCGTTACCAAAACAAGAACGATCAACCGTATAACTTGACATGCACTACTCTTCTATTCCTTTCATATATATATATATATATATATATAGAGAGAGAGAGAGAGAGAGAGAGAGAGAGAGTTTTTTTGTATTTTTATAGATTTTTTGTCATCTCGTTTAATTTTATAGTTAAATTTATGTAATTTTTTATTGTCTTAAAAATTTATTATTAAATTTATAACTTGATTAATTAAATATAGTATTATATTTTTCAGAGTATAATTTTTATAGTTATTTTTTAAATAAAAATTATAATATTTTTCGTTTTAATACTATTTTTACTTAAATATGTTATTAAAATACTTTTGAGAGGTTGAGGCGGTAATTGTACCAAACGGAACATTGAAGACTAAAGTGATCCTTGGTTTAAACCCGAAGAGATGGGTTCAAGCCAAAACGACGGGTTGTGACACCGTTTTGGGCTTTTTTTGGTTTTTGTTTTTTTAATAGGAAAAAACATGCACCTTCAAATTTCAACTTACTAGTGCTCGTCATTTTGAGGAAACAAAAGAACTTTAAAAAGCACTCGCCATTTTCCCCTGCAGTAACAGTTTTTCTTTTTCTTTTAAATGCGATTGCAATAACAGTCTCTTGGTTCGTCGTCAATGGTGATGGTAGATCTTCCAATCCTCCAGTTCGAAGAGAAGATCATAGAAACAGTAGAACAGAATCCGGTGGTTGTCATAATCGGAGAGACCGGTTCGGGAAAGAGCACTCAGCTCTCTCAAATTCTCCACCGAAGAGGCTACACCAAATCTGGAATTATCGCCGTTACTCAGCCTCGCCGAGTCGCCGCGGTCTCTGTGTCCAGGTGGAGTTGCGAACAAAGTTTTTGTCCGGTTCATTCAATCCTCGTCGCACTTTAATTAGCTTCCCCTCAATTTTCTGGTTATAACTTTAAAAACAGATATTTGTCTGTCCGTAATATGTTCGGCTGTTAAAGAAGTTAGGGAAAAGTGAATTTAGGAGTCTTTGATAATTTCAGATTACTACTTAAATGAACTACAATGGCATTAGTGAATGGGTTTACTCAGTTCGCTTGTAACGTTAATGTATATACTTTGAGCACAGACGAGTTGCACAGGAGCTTGGTGTACGGCTGGGAGAGGAAGTGGGATATGCCATCCGTTTTGAAGATAGGACTTCGGAAAGGACACTGATTAAGTAAGGCGATAGTATCATTCTTTTATGACTTCTCCGAGCGTATTGTCTCTTATTGTAGGTTCTTGAGAACTGCTCAGGTACCTTACTGATGGAGTCCTCCTTCGTGAAAGTCTGTCTAATCCGGAGCTTAATCACTATTCAGTGATCATTTTGGATGAAGCTCATGAGAGAAGTTTAAACACGTAAGATTTGTCCCCTTCTATTTTTATTTTTGGATTGGACGGTAATGGGTTTAAAAATTTAAGCTGAACTAAATCTGTTCCAGACGAGTTCAAGAGCGCACCCACTTAATCGCATCAGCATAAGTGTCTGTAAATATTAGCATCAGCGAAGGAAATGTAGGGGTTTAGAATATAGAGCATTTTGCCTACCTCACTGGTGCTTGAATCTATTATCAGGGACATATTGCTGGGATTAATGAAACGACTAGTTAAAATGCGTGCTTCCAATTTAAAGGTTTTAATAACCTCAGCAACTCTTGATGGTGAGAAAGTATCAGAATTCTTTTCAAATTGCCCTGTGCTGACTGTACCAGGAAAGTTGTATCCTGTGGAAATTTTGTACAGCAAGGAGCGTCCTACAAGCTATCTTGAGGCTTCTCTGAGAGCAGCTATTGGTACGATCAGAATTCTGGTCTACTAGTGTGTTGGAATTGATGATACATTTAATGCTACAGTTGGTTCTCTGTTTTGCTTTCTGAACAATTTCCCCTGACTTGCAATCTTCTTTGATCTTTTACATCTTATCTAATATATTTTTTTCCTAACAGAAATACATGTTAGAGAACCAGAAGGTGATATCTTAATATTTATGACTGGACAGGTGCGCATGCTCCTTTTTCTGCTCTGTAATTTTAGTCTGGAGCAGAAATGATCAACTTATATTAATTTTATAGCACTTCTGTGAATTCTAGACTTATCTATGGCCTTAGACAGGATGATATAGAGAAGTTGGTATCAAAGCTGGAGGATAAAGTTCAAACCCTAGAGGAAGGCTCCTGCACGGATGCCATTATTCTTCCTCTCCATGGATCTTTGCCACCTGAAATGCAGGTAGCTGATTTTTTATTTTAAGTGTTTTTCATAAGATCAATAAGCTTATGTATCTGTTAATCTTTTGTTTCTTTTTTCAGTTTTGTGATTTGATCAACTGCTTAAGTTTGTTTGTTCTGATAGAGACCTTAAGAATCCTAGTTGATGACAGTCTGATGAATTGATGATGCAGACTTATTCCATTCTGCTGACTATCAGTTAGGTTGAAACTAAAAGAAAATAGTTAAGGTTCACTTGATCCTGTGGTGCTGTGGTGTTTGTTAAACTAGAAGTACATTCCTATTTTCTCCTTTTCTTCTGCATGAAGTATTAATTATTTTGCGGTGCCTTTCCCTCTCTCTACATTCTTTTCTTCCCATTTGAGGGAAGGATAATGTGTTTTGGCTTATGTGAAATCTAGTGCCCAAGTTTACATGGAACTCTGTCTCAATGCTTCATGTTTTTCCTGACATGCAGGTGCGAGTATTTAGTCCTCCACCTCCCAACTGTCGGAGATTTATAGTTGCCACAAACATTGCTGAAACTTCTCTGACTGTTGATGGTGTTGTGTAAGTTGCATGGATTCTTTTTGGTGATTGTTTTACTTTTCATAAACTATCATTTCTTTTTAATGCTTTGCAACTAATTTGTCAAAGTAACGTTTATACACTTGGTTCATACTTTGTCTTTGGTTCTATCTCTTCTCTGCCTCTTTATTTACAGTAGAGATTCAAAATTTGCTTATCTAATGATGGATTCCTTTGGATGAAAAAGAAAAATAGGATGCCACATTTTAGTTATCAATCTTGCTAGAAAGTGATTATCATGTATGAAAAAGAACACATGCAGTGGAAATGGTAAGTAAACAAGAAATGTAAAACATAGATCTTTGATCACAATTGTTAATTCTGTATTCTCAATAACATTTGATAGTAATTGTGGAATTTAGAGAGAGACAGGTTTTCTTGTATTAATGAGAATGTGCATGTACATTGGTATCTAGCTGTTACAAAAATAAAAAAGAGGAAAGTGATTGCAGTAAATAAAATCTAATTGAATCTCCTTATCAATGGGATTTCCTAACTGGTATCCTGTATTTTTAGAAAGATTACTTTTTAGATAGAAGATTGATAGATTTTCCAACATTCCTTCTCAAGCTGGTGAATATGCATCTTTTATTCCAAACTCAGAGATAAGTCCTTGGAATGTCATACTAAGTTTTTCTGTCTATAAGTTGACCATTAATTGAGATGTAAGGAGTACAAACCAATCCATTGTCCAACTCTTCTCTTTTGATGTCTCTATTTACTTCAATATGTTTCGCTTTGTCATATTGAATAGGATTATGAACAATGTTAATGACTGACTTGGCTATTGCAAACTAGTTTCATTAGTTTTTCGCATCTGATCCTCAAATCTTCCAAAATTATCTTAAGTCATAATTTTTCACACACTTCCTGTGTCATCGTCCTAAACTCTGCCTCTATGCTACCATATTCTACTTCCTACTCTTCTAGGTCAAAAGATTACCTCCAAGAAAAGAACAATATCCAATTATAGATTGTCCATCCACTGGTGAGTTTGCATAATCAGGATTGATGTATGCCTCCAGGACTAACCCAATGTTTTTGTCAAATAGAATTTCATTACCAAAATTATCCTTTAGGTAATCTAATATCGGTAGACTGCATGAAGGTGAACATCTCAAGCTATGCATAAATTGGCTTATCATGTTAATGACATATGCAATGTCTGGTAAGATAGATAAGTTTTTCTACCAGTCTCTGATACATCTTTCTGTTTATGGTTGGATCTTTTTTTGTCTCTCCCAGTTTGTGATTCTGTTTAATTAGTGTGAAGACATGTTTACATACTAACTTTCCTGTCTTCTTTAGGAGGTCAATCACGTACTTATTTTGTGTAGTAAGATGTTTTTCTTTGAATGAGCTTCTTCAATTCTTAAAAATTACTTTAATTTCCTAAATCCTTGTATCAATTTCTTGACTAGGCATCTTTTACATGCTTCCTTCTCTTTCTCTTGATTTCCTGTTACAGTTATTTCATCAACATATACTAGGAAAACTATAACTCTTGTTGAATCTGAGTGTTTTATAAAGAATGAATAATCTCCTTGACTTTGTCTAAATCCAGTAAGTGTTACTTTGGCGAATCTCCCAAACTAAGCGCTTGGAGATTGTTTTTGAGCACTCAATGCTCTCTTCAATTTGCGCACTCTACTGTGTCTTAGTTTTCCCTTGAAACGTTAAGGGAGAGCTATGCACATCTCTTTCTCCGTACATCAAACTGCTCCAAATGGCATGCAAAGTTAGTTGTTAAAAACAGCAAAATTCTTGTCTTATTCATTTTTGCCACTCGAAAAAATTTCTCCTCACAGTCCATACTATAGGTCTATTTATATATCTCTGTGCTACAAGTCTCTCCTATCTTTCTGGGAAGCCATATGACTTGGATTGCACTATAAACACCCACTTGCATTCCACAGGTTTCTTTCTAGGAGGTAGGTCAATAATTTTTCATGTTCAATTTTTCTCTGGTGCCTGCATCTCTTCTCTCATAGCATTTTTTTTTTCACTTCTCATCATATAATTCCTCATATGAAGTATAAGAAATTCAATAATGTTTAGATCAACTGGAAAGCTTCTATATGAAGGTGAAAATTCAAAACACAGGGTTCATTAGTAGATAGAGTAGGTGTTTAGTGCATTTTCTTGTGTTTTTACTAATGTTAAGAGGAAGTTCATGATCATGTGTTAGTTGAGGAGAAAGTTTTTGAACTGAATTTACCTCATCCGTAGGATTGGGTGTTGAGTCTTGAACTTACATACGATCAAAGTCAGTCTTTTCATCTTGAATATACTTGGATAAGTCTCATTGAGTGATAAAGTTGATTATTCTCTATCATAGGGATGGTGTGAATGGGTGAGAATGTTAACAGGAATTGAGGTGGTTTGAGAGGTGGTAAGGGTTTGATTGGTTTACAGACTCTGTTGGCGGGGAAAGTCAAGCAAAATTAAGTCTCTATCCTTGTCTTTAATGGAAGATATGGACTTCATCTTAATATAGCACAGAGTGAAATAAGAATTTTTTTTTTCCATAAAAAATGACATTGATGGTGACAAAAAACTTTTTCATTGGTGGACGGTAAGACTTGTTCCCTCTTGGGTTAGTTAATAATCGAGGAATTGACACTTATAGCTTTTAGATCTAACTTCTGTCTGTTTCGGCTATGAACATTGGCAATGATAATAGATCCAAAGACTCTTGAAATGAGGCTATTTGTTGATTTTAGATCAAGATACGACAGTGGAGTGTCTCCATTGGCATTGTAGATCTCAGAACCCATGAAGAGAGGCAGTTGATTATTTAAGCTGCTGCAAGCATGGTTTCTTCCCAATAGGCTTTGGTAACATTTTGGTGAAAAACAAAAGGCTCAGGTCGTGTTTAGCAATTGACAATTTTTATTCTCTGTTACTCCTTTTTGTTATGTAGTATTTAAGCATGAGGATTATGGATAATTCTTTTTTTTCCCTCTTTGAAAAAATAGAGGTAGAGTTTGGCTGGAATAATCCCATGTGTTTTTTTTTTTTTTGAAATAAAAAATAATCCTATGCATTATCTGATTAGAATCTTTTGATTTTAGCATCAAACTGATTTTGAGGTGTGGAAATTTGGAATCATACTGACATCTGATTTGGTTTTAAAAAGGGAGATTCAAGAGACTTAGTATAATCATGTAGACAAACCATCGTGATCCAAATATATTTGAAACTATAAAGAGTTTCAAGATATCGACATGGACAACGTAAAATGAGATTGAACCTTTTTGGTTACTGATTGGTGGTACACATTTTATCTGACTTATTAACTGCTATAGTTCTGATATCATATTGTTCATCTGCTAGGCTGTAGAAAAATTATCCCTATTACCCAAAAAATAAAAAGAATGCGTTTCATTGGGGTTGGTTTACCTAATTTCATTTTCTTGAATGAAGGGTTATTTTTCCTACTTTGTTTCATGCTATGGAGAATATATCTGGTGATTTTTTAACTCATGGAGGCTCCTGCTATGCGGTCATGGATAAATAGGTTTTGCTTCTTAGAAAGGGGGAAAAGAAAGGGTATAGGAAAATGGAAAATCTAAAATGATCGGTTGACCCTTCTTCTGTCTTGCAGTCCTCACGCATGTTTATGCACACTTGCACACATAGATGCACATTTATATGCCTAGTCTTTCTTATGAGACCAGAAACTGTTATTTCTGCCTAGGGCAAGTGCTCATGTTTACAAATGGTGTAATGATAGGTATGTTATTGACTCTGGTTATGTTAAGCAACGACAGTACAATCCATCAGCTGGCATGTATTCCCTTGATGTTGTTCAGATAAGCAAGTAAGCAGATTAGCATGTTTCATGACATCTAGCAGACTAAGTTACATTACTTATGATTTCAGAGTTTATATGAATGATTTCAGTCTGTTGATTTTTTCCTTTGATGAATTTTATCATGTCTGAGTGAAGGTTTGGAATGGTAACAACTGAGTTTTATCGAAAAAGGGATCTGTGAGTTGGGCATCACTATTATCATAAATGATTGGGTAAACTATCTCTAGGTCTCTGATGTTTGTGTATATTCACAGTTGAGTCTATTATTTTTAAGAAACAAGGTAGTCATCCACTAAAATACTACTTATTTTTTATACAATGTTTTCTTGTGCACACTTTCAGTTCTTTTTCCACTCACTGTTGCTTCTTTATCTTAGAAACTAAAAGTGTTATATCTTTCGTGTTCTCCAAATAGAATTACTTGTTATGTTGATTCTTTTATATTTCATAGCCGTGTGATTGACATTTTATACATATTTAACTATTATTTAGAATTTCTTGAGAAACTAAGATGAAATTTTGACAGATATGTTTATTATATAGGGACCAAATTATTATTTTTAAAGATAGTGCATCTATCGATAACTAAAATACTAGTTTTTTTTTTCATTTTTTTATTTACACAATATTTTCCTGCACACACTTTCTATTCTTCTAACACTTCCACTATTTCTTTGTCTTACCATTGAACCTAAGAAATGTGTTAAACATATTTAACGTTTGCTAAGAAGTCTGAATGAAACTAACATATAGATTGATTATGTAAGGACTAGATGGTTATTTTCAGAAAATAGTGGATTCAGTTGTAACTATAGCCAAACATCAAGGACCTCCTTTAATTTAACCTGAATGATAAACCCCTTTGTCTTTTTTTTTTTGTTTTCTTAAATTGATTTTTGTAACTGGTACCTTGAAGCAAACAACCCAAAAAAAGAAAGTTTTGCAATGGTTTTTTGTGTCGTCTTCTAAATTTTCTTGTGTGCAGCGAACACCATCCCCACCCTTCTAAAAATAAAAAAGGCTGGGTCTTAACCTGCCATTGGTTTTATTTGCTTTGTCCGCAAGACCATTTTACTGATAGCTTTTTCTTTCTTGCTCATGGTTGACATTGCAATACCTTTTTATTCTTATACATCCATTACGACCTCTTTTACTTGTTATGGTTTTCAGAGTGCAGGCTAATCAGCGTGCAGGACGAGCTGGAAGAACACGTCCTGGCAAGTGCTACCGGCTATACCCTTCTACAGTTTACCGTGATGAATTTCTTGATGTAACAATTCCTGAAATACAGCGATCTTCGCTTGCCGGCAGTGTTCTTTACCTGAAATCATTGGATCTTTCCGATATTGATATTCTAAAGTTTGATTTTCTTGATCCTCCTTCAAGTAAGCTGGCATTCTAAGTCTGGTTTTATATTGGATTGATACTACAGTTAACTGTTTTCATACAAGTCAGAAGACGTTCTCTCTTTCTCTTTCAACCCTCATCCTAAGAAGAAAAGAGAAGGAGAGAATTCCGTTAAACAAATGAAAGAAGAGAATAGATTTGACAGTTTTCTATTAGTGCTGTATTTTGCTGCTCAGAAATTTATGAAATTTGATATTTTTCCCATCAGAGACACTTACATTGTTTATATCTGACTGACTTTGTTGCAGCTGAATCATTAGAAGATGCTTTAAAACAATTATATCTAATTGATGCTATTGACGAAAATGGATCAATCACAACTATTGGGCGAACGATGGCTGGTACTGGTTTCCATCTTGTTTATTAGGTGTTGAATTTAGTCCTAGATGTTTTGAGTTTTCTGTTGATTGGAGTGGATGCGTCACAGTATTTGTCAATCCTAAACATCTGCTATGACACTTTGAAATAAATGAGTTTAAATGCGAGTGGCATATATGGTACGTAATTGAATGTAACGGTGAGGAGTGTTTGGTCTATTATCACTGCTTAATTGGTTGATTACTTCCAATTTTCTGCTAGACTGGATGGTAGGTCTTTAGTCCTTAGGCTTCTCAGATGTTTTCACTTGCCAATCCTTTTTTCCCATTTTCTACCTGGTCCCTCTTTCAGGAATTTGATTTTCACCAATTCTTTGGAATGTGCAAGTCCTCTCTGAGGGGAAACAGTTTGTTTGTACTAGGATACTTTACCAAATTAACCAAAGGACTCGTTGCAATTAGAAAATAGGCTTCATCTCCTGATATTTGTCTTAAGTGTTAGTTCAGATATCATAGCCATTTATTTTTACACTGTTATGCTGCACAGCAGACTTGGAACAATCTCTTTGATTTGTATGGGAAATTTTGGTTTTCTTGTGCAACCTTAGGAGATTTTATTTCTACATATTCTTTAGGGAATGAGAGGAATAAAAATCAAATGACTTTGTAGAGAGGTTCAGTTTTTGCTGATCTGTATGTTTGTGCTTGGAACAAGATGCCAATCCTTCTTTTGTATATTGGACCCCATATTACCTTTTGGATAGAGTGGCATTCTTGCCCTGATTCTGTGCCAAGGCTACTGATTTTTTTTTGGGGGTTATCTTTTTCTACATCGGAAAGAGGTTTGGCTGCTCTTTTGTATTAAATGTCTCTTCTATTCATTTCGTTGTTTTCTTCTCTGTTTCTCTTTTTTTTTTTGGAGAATGTCTTATTTCTTTCTCTGTTTCCTTGCCTGATTGTTTGCTCTCTAAGCAAATGTACATCCTGCATTTTTATATGGAATGATTTTCATACAGGTTTTCTGCTTACCTTCATTTGACTCTTTCTGCTCATTTGATTTGGAAAACATCACTATATCAATTTGAATGAACCATTTAATGTTATTTGGCTTATGAGTTCCTACATGCTAGCTAACATGGAGAACTGGTACCGTTTTATTGCTCAAGTATCATGCATCTAGGACTTATAACTGACTCGCTTTTAATGGACCTGCAAAAATCCGTGCTTTAAATTTTTCAGTGCATGTTTCTATCTATTTATGTTTAATCCCACTTATAGTTATTTTTTGTATATCAACCTGCACAACACCAATAGTCTAATGAGTATTTATATGGTTGGATGACAGAGCTTCCTTTAGAACCTTCTTTGTCAAGAACTCTGATCGAGGCAAACAGTTATGGTTGCTTATCTCAAGCTTTGACTGTTGCTGCCATGTTATCAGCAGAAACCACGTTGCTTCCTGGTCGAAGGTTAGGTTATATGAAATGTTTTGTTAAGATGGTTCTTACATGATGTGGATGCTGCTTCTAGTATGTCCCAATGCCATTAACTATAAAATTTTTGAGTTCTAGGTGCTAGTTGCTCGGAGCATTGCCAAAACATCTTGCATATCTGTCTAATATTAAGATGAAAAACTATTGAAAATATTATCACTTGTAATTTTTTTTTTCTTTTGTAAAAAAGAATGTTCTCTGTTTGAAAAAATAATTTATTTATTTGCATTACTGGAAACTCAATTATTGTGCACCTTCTCCAAACTCCAGACAAATCTTAAAGAACACTCCTAGTCATGGATTTGTTTGCGTACATTCTTAAATTGATCCCTGGTAAATCCCAACAATAGAATTTGTATATTGGCGAGAAAGTAAATGTAGAAGCCCCTGACTTTTAATGGAAGACAGACTCCAATTTCTTGATTGGCTTAATTGTATAGAAGAATATTTTAACTAATATGATATGCCAACAAATGAAGGATCTGCTCTTCCAAGTAAAATTAGTTGGATTTGCAAAAAAAATGGTTGTATAATCAATTAGAACTTGATGAGAATGAGAACCTCCAATGGGAGAAAAGTTACTTTTTGTAGAAATACCTGCCAATTATTTGGAGAAGATCCATGTCAGGACCTGAATAGGCTAGCTAGGATATTAATTTTATGATATTCTGTTAAGAATAGATAGCTGTTAGAAAATAGCTAGTAAGAATTTCAGTACAAAAGGACACTGTTATCCAGCTGCCCGTTGTACCTAGTACTGAGTTGTTATTTTGTTTTATTCTCCTGCGGAATAGGTGCTGCTATATATTATTCCAGGCCTAATAGTGAGGGAAAACATGGTCTCTCTGGATCCCATTGAATTTCATTCAGAAGAGGAACCTTGTAAAGATAGTATTGATTTTTATCAAAGAAAGATAGAATTAACTGAGGCTATTTAAACAGGTAGAGGTCCACTAAACGGTATTACTATAGCACTTAAGGTTATGGATTTTCAGGTTAACGGGAGTAGTATGGGATCCGTACTAGGCAAGAAAATCACCCATTTGATTGAGTATGCTTCCAATGAATTTTTACCACTTATTAAATGTGCGCTCCGGAGGAGCGCGGATGCAGGAAGGAAATTTGAGTTTGATGCAAATGGCTAAAATATCTTCCACTTTATGTGATTATCAATCAAATAAAAAATTATTTTATATATCAATTCTTACATCTCCTACTACCGGTGGAGTGACAGCTAGTTTCGGTATGTTGGGGGATATTATTATTGCCGAACAAAATGAAATATATCTACTTAAACTTTATTCTCTCTAAGTCTCTATCTCTTCTCTCTTCCTTCCCTCGTCCTTCTCCTACCTCTACTACTAATCTTCCTAATCTGCCTCTTTCAGCCTTAAAATTCCTCAAAATACTAAACAAAACCTGTTCGTTGAGGCTGTTAAGGAAGCAAGTTCCTGAAAATCCATTATCAAGTTTATACCTCGATACAAGGCAACATGTCAGTTACTAAATGCACACAGATATCTAAAACGTTGAAGATATGAAGTCAACTGGAAGGGAATACTAATGAAGCTACCCCTCTATTTAAAATTGGATTAAGAGCTGAAACAAAAAAGAAGTTGATTTGTTGACACACAGCAGTTGTAGCACAATTATCAAGCAACTCTTGATATGGAAGAATATTTGTAATATCAAATCCTGAAAGACATTAAGTTCCTGGTTATGGAATCAAATCCTGTGGGGACCTTTGAAAGATAAGGTAGTCAGAAATGTGGATCAACATCAATTTTCAATAATTGTTCCAAAGGTAAGGAAATTGTTTGTTACTGGTGTGGATAGGTTGGGAATATGAGCTATCAATGTTCAAAGGAGAACAAATTGCGTGTTGGAATGGACAAATGGGGGAGGATAGTTACATATCCTATGAGGATGATTTACTTGATGATGAATAACTATGTCCTTCTCTATTGTTTGTAGAGAAACGTATCTTAGTAGCTCTTAGAATGGAGAAACAAGGACCATCATGTCAGACACCTTTGACATGGGTTCTGATCTAAAGAAATAAGAAGAAGAGGAGGAAGAGGGAAGGAGAGGAGAAACAAAGAAGAGAATATGAGATAAGTTATTTTATTTCTTTCCTTGATGATTACAAGCACAAGGAGTGAACCTTTTATAGGCTACAAAGCAATAAAGGGACGATATTCATGGCCGGAATCAGTCGCCGTTCACAATGCAGTGGCGGCTACTGTGGAAATACATTCAACACATTAACCTTAACCCTAACCCTAACCTTAATTGATACCTGCAAAAGACTAATTTACCTTTTTGCGCATTTCTCTCTTTACTCTTTCTATCCTAACACATCGTTTATTTCTATTGCCCAAAATCTTTCCCGAAAAGAGAGCTTTATGGAAGTTCCATGAAAGGGGAAACCTGTTCATCATCAACTACAAGGTTTCACATTACTAACTTCTGATAGATACCAGGTGGAGAGTATGGGATCAAATCAAAGGGAGAAAGTCCTCTTATAATATTCTCAAGGGGTGATTGGTTTTGGGAGAAAAGCCATAAAACTGATGATAATAGATGGTTAAGGAGAGAAAAATTTCTCTCCAAGGCACTACCTTATTTTTGCTCAATCAAAGTTGTAATTTTTCATCCGCCTTTCTGTTTAGTGTTATTGCCATTTTCCACCTTAAATTTCAAACTTCAAGGTTAAATTGAATTTCATAAAATTTTATCATATTAAGATTTTTAATTAATTAAGAATTGCTAGAACTACATAATTCATAAAACCCTAGTTTCTTTATACCACACAGTTTGAAGACTGATTTTTTTCCCAATAGTGGCCAGCCATGTGATATTTAAATTTCAAAATGTGGCTTCTTGGATAGGATTTTAACCATACATTATAATTTACGTCCAGGTAAGGCCTAAGTGCTAAAACAATCGGTTCAATATGGTGGCCTAGGCTTGAGATCTTTGGTTGAGGTTAATAAGGCACTTCAAGGGCAATAGTGTGAAGATATATGTTGGGGCGTGATAGGTTGTGGAGGAGAGCAGTAAGTGCTAAATTTGGTATGAAGGGTAAAGATTGGTTTATAAGGTTTCATTCTTCGTCACATTGTATAGGTTTGTGGAAAAAAATATGCATGGCAAGAGAGGAGTTTTGTAAACTTGTGGTAAGATGAGTGGTTAGATGGAGGGACGCTTAAGAACCAGTCTTCCCAGATTTTTGCTCTGGCACGTCATAAGGGGCTGCAGTTCAGGAGTTTTTCCGATGTTTTGGGGGATGACTCATGGATTGTGGAGATCTTAAGGAATCCTAATGATTGGGGGATCAATGAGTACAAATCTCTTTTCTTGATTCTTTCCAAATGTGTTCCTAAGGGGCACAAGAGTTATCCTATTTGGAGGCTTAACTCTAAGGGGTTTTGCTCCGTTAAGACTTTTTATTTGTATCTAACCAAAAGGCATGAAACTTGCATGGAGTTGCCACCAAGGCTGGTCTGGAAGCTAAAAGCGCCGCCTCCTTTGTTTGGGAGGCTGCTAGAGATTGTATCTTAACACTCTATAAGTTGAGTAGAAGGGAAAAAATATTGGTTAGTGGCTGCTGCCTGTACAAGAGTGATGCAGAATCGTGTAGCCATATTTGTTGTGGTGTCCATTTGCCTACATTTTGTGGATTTTAGCCTATAGTTTGTTGGGTATCAAGTGATGGCTGATCCAGTGAGGAACAAGATTAGGGCGTGAAAAGGGGCCCACAGGGAGAAGAATTTTTCAAGTCTTATTCATAGGTTACATTCTGGGTTTTCTAGAAGGAAAGAAATATGAGAGATTCTGACAGTATTGAGTCTGATTTTGATAGATCCAAAGACACATAATTCCAAATCCTAAATCTTTTGATTAAAGGGTCATCCTCTTTATTCTTGTGAGAATTTTTTGGATTATTTAGATATTTTACTTGACATGTAAATTTGTATACAGGTTGCACCCTTGGTGCTTGTGAATAGTTGGTATTTCTTCTTTTGAAAATAAAGTCCAATTAAGGGGTACTCAATTAGATTAAATACATTATTTTTAAATTAAAAAGATTGAATACATTCTTTAATCACTATTTAGGTTTAAATGATGAGCTAGACCATTTAGGTATTTATAAACTTAGGTTGAAATTGTTTATTAACCAAAACTTGATTAACTTTTAAGCTTAAACCTAATCAATTTTAATTAAACCTTTAATAAGCTTAGTTGGACTTTCAGTATCTTTAATTAACTCCAAGTTATTTAATTTTGAAAAATATTTCATCAAATTAACTAATTTCATTTTCTTTTACACAAAAAATCTTTAATGTCTCGCCTTAGTATGTTAGAAAACAAGAAGTAAAACTATATCAAAATTGACTAAATGGTGCAATGTCACTTCTTGAAGATAGTCAAAGCCTCCCGCTGTCGAAGGGGATTAGCAACTCTTTGTCCAGTATTTAACTTCACTTAGTTTGATGGTATATTTGCGTACAACTAATGCTACGTGCATGTAACCTTTCTTTTTAAAAAGTATGCTATTAAAAAGCGTCAAGAGTATGTAACTCGTATACAAAAGTTTTATAATTTTATAAATATCAACCAATCCCCCCAAATCCTCACTAGAGTAAAGAGGAACCTAGAGTTTGAAGAGTTACCAAATGGCCTTAGAAGATGAAGAGTTGCCAATAAACATGTTGAATCATTTCCAATTGACTTATAACTTGAAAATATATGTATGTTGTTACAAAAATGCTGCATAGCACCAATTTCAAGCCACCAATCATTTCAAGCAATGTATTTGAATAATTTCCAATCAACCAAATTGCACTCAGTCACCATTTTTTTTTTTTTGAAAGATGCACTTAGGCACCATTGCGTCAAATACATCCTTGTGTTGACTGAGTAAATATACTTCCTTTATAGTTCTTTTCAACCTTCAAGTGATGTACAACATA